ATAACCACTTCTGCGGGTCGTCGTATATTTACATATTGCGGCACGGAAGTGTATTATATAACATGTGTGGCAGGCTGGCCGCCTCCGTGGATCACAAATCAAAAAAAATGATCTTTGTCTCAATATTCACATGCGTTTTATTAAAGTGACATTAAAGTCAAAGATTTTTCTCCCTCCCCCCAATGTTAATTAAAGCACTTACCTTAAATGATGTCTCTTAATCCGATCTTCTTCTTCTTTCTTGTCCTTTTCATCTGTCCCTTCAGCGCTGCGGCGGGTCTCCGATCCTGCGCTGACTCCTCTGTGCTTGCTGGCACTTCCTGTCCCACGGTGTCTGCATGCAGGTGCACGCTGTCCATAGACATACCTTGTGTCTCTCCTCGTCTCCCGGTGAACTGCGCATACGCCCACCCCAAGATGCTTTGCGACCGCCTGATAATTTTCACATTTTCGGACGGGAGCGTGCGGGGAATATACAGGTAAGTTTAAACCGCTTTTAAAGCGGGTTTTTTTGTGACACTTTTTGCATATATCTACTGCTTGCTAGCAGTAGATATATGCAAAAACAACGGAGGGTTTAATAACCCTTTAAGCATGTATGCCATTCATAAGGCTCCAAAGCAAAAATGTTAGAAATAAAAACCTACTCCAACTTAGGAGACTACCTAACATAGGATTCCCTCTCTATCCTACTGGGCAGCTAAGATGTAACCGGTAGATAAAATAAACAACAAAGTACCTTTGTCTTTGTTTCTTAAGGTGCCCATACACTGCACGATTCTCGTACGAGAACCGCGGGAAATCCCACGATCGTACGATAATCGTGCAGTGTATGGAAGGCGTGCGACCGTTTCTAATGTACGGTCGCACGGTTTTTAATGTACGGTTGCACGACTTTTGTATTTTGAGCATGTTGGAAAACCAGCCGAGAATCATACGATTTTCGGCTGGTTTTTAGCAAGATCGAGAGCTAACTGCCGAACAGGCCAGTGTGCTCACGCGCACACTGCCCATTCAGCATTGCAGTCATCGGAAAAGGCCGCCCCTCGGGGGTTTGCGATGATCGCAAGTACGATCTGCCTGTCCAAGATGGGCAGATCGTACGTTTTTTAAATTACTTTACAACCCTCGCAAGACAAAAATCTTGCGAGGGTTGTAAAGTGTAAGGGCACCTTTAGACTCTCAGGGCCAGTTCAATTTTGGCCGGAACTTACTGGATCGCATTGCGGCCTGCTCACTTTTGTTGTGGGGCGGAAGGGGACGTGGCGGTGCATTGAAGTGTATGGTACCATAGCCATGCTCTCTGGTTGCAATGCAATCGGCTGCACGGTACATCAATGCCTGCGGTCCAGTCAGAAAAAATGCTGCAAGCACTATTTTTTTCTGACCGGACCAGAACTCAGGCATTGATGTGCCACGCTTTCCCCCTGCGGCCGTGTTCAATGCACCATCATGCCCCCTCCCGCCCCAACACAAAGTGAGCCAGCCGCAATGCCATCCAGTGCTTTCCGGCCATAATTGGGCAGGAACGCACTGTGGCTGGAGTGAACTACCCCTCAGGGCCGATTCACACCACAAAGAGTGCTTTCCAGAGCGTTCGGCCTCTGGAACGCGTTCAGGGGTGGGAAGTCAATGGCACCGCAGCCACGCCCCCTGCGCACAGTGCGATCGCCAGCACCCAGAGGCGTGGCATATTAGTGCCTGTGCTCCAGTCCAGTGCAATCTGCAAAACTAGTGCAAAAAGAGTGCTCTGGAACGCACTCTTTGTGATGTGAAGCGGCCCTCAGTCTATGTATCTCAGCCCAGCTCCTCTCCAGTGAGCCCTGTTTGCCCTGTGCACTGAGATTATGCAGATCCCTAATTACAGACCTGAGAGCAAGCTGAGTTTTAACCCCTTCTATCCATGGAACACCAAAAGCTCCATTCTGGGGCTAACAGCGGCGTTCATTCATTCTGTCAGACGTGTCTTACTTATTTTGCTAGATAGTGGTATAACAACATAGCACTGCAGTTAATTATTTCTATTTTTAGTTTTTAATGATCCACCTTGAAACTTTCCTGTTACTTTCAGGTATTTTTTTTATATTTAATGATGCACAGGGTTAGTGGGTGGTCTGAGTTTGGGTGGCATTAAATCACAAAGTTAGTAGAAAAAGCCAGCAGTCCTTTTGATTTTCAATACTTTACTGTAGGACGCAATCATCAAAGTTTTATAGCGATGTTTTGCTATAACCTTTTCTCAAGGTGTAGAGGTGTCTTTGAGCTATCATTAAAGATATGTGATGGTCTAAATTACATCAGACTGGGACTTTGTCCTTGATCTCTTATCCTAATAAAGCATAAATTGGAAAAACTCTGGCCAGTAGTGAAACGTTCCTTGTCCATTTCATTCAGTCCATGGTTATTGCATGAATAAAAACATATATTTGTTTGCTAAATGTATGGGTTATGTTTACAGTGTCCACATACTATTTGTTGTTTTGTAAAATTAGCATATTGTATCATTCCTTATACCCTTCTGGATTATTCCTTGCAATGATTATTTCAAGTATCTTATAGTAAAATAAGAGCATTGGATCTCATCAAAGGCTCTGTTAAGTCAGGGCAGGGGAGCCAAAAATAATAAGTGCACTTATTTTAAAGTTAAAGTTACTTAAAGTTGCGCTTTCCTTTTAACTATGTTTATTGAAACATCTGGCAAATATGAATTATTCAGCTGATAAGCGACTCATTGATGGTAATCACTGAATAAAAATTCCTATGCTTGGCGCCCGTCTAGCCTCTTGCATATCAGTGACAGCTGTGTTTATACCGTTTAGACTGCATATTTTAAAAAAGTAGTGCATTTGAAGCAGCTTATGGCTTTGTTGATAAGGGGACCATTATGTTGACATGTTTGGCGAATGGCTTTTTTTCCTGCAGTGGTGAATTATTATAAAGTAAACATTGCTATTCTCCTTGATATCCCATCGAACAGTACTCCTCTATACTTCTTTCTCCTGTGAGCCAGCTATCCTAAACCTCTTTCCCCCCTCATTTATATTTCAGATCAGCTTTCAGAACAGGTCTCTTGCTCAGGTCATGTGATAGGTCATATGATTGGTGTACATTCTGACAAGGAGGTCTGTGTAAGGCTGCACAGCTGCATATCAGAGGAGGCAATGCTCAGTGTCTAGTACTGAAACAAAAAGGATTCTAGCACAGGGCAGCTGCCACTCTACAGATTGTGCTGGATCCTTCAGGACAGCCCCACAGGATCCAGTAAACCACTTTGGGGGTATTGCCAAGTTACCTGGACTTGGCGCTTTCCTCCAGTGGCCATGTCGCCCTAGGCCTATGTAGCCAATTTTCAAAACTGACACTGATTGTGTTCACTCTGATGTCACTGTTTTCTAGCAGTAGTTAGATCAGTTCAGTCTTTAGTCTGCATACAATAAAGCTGGCCATACATTTATTGCTCAATTCCCCCATCCAATCTTAAATAGCGTGGAAAGGGGAATCCCTCCTAATGCCAGGCTATTGTATTCTGACTGCAGCGGGTTTGCCGCAGTCACAATACCTGAACAGTGACTGTTCTTCCAAGAACTTACGGCCTGGCTTGTGAATTTTGGCTGAGTGACCAGGAACAGGTCTGAGATTTAAGCAGTGTATGGCCATCTTTGGTCTGTTTGGTTTCAGTAACTCATTCCTCCTTCTTCATTTGCATTTTTTTGGCTAAGGTCAGACTCATGGGTCAGCCTCAAGAAGGCTATGTGCTGAACAAAGTGGCCTTTCATCTCAAATTAATAGTACTAACAATTTTTATGCCTGTGAAATATTACCACGTTACTGAGGACCTGCTACCTGTGTTTCATCTAGGTAATGGACATCCAAATAAGAGAACCCAAGTCTGAGAGGCATTTTACTTTTCTAGATAGTCTTAGCTAATGATTAATTATCCATTATGCACAGTGTGAAGGAGCAAATTCTCAAGAGATTTGGGATCCTCTGCTTTCCCAGGATCACAGAATTCTGAGTGACATCACCCTCACCTAGAGGGAACAGGTTGAATAATTGGTCTAAAGAATTTTTTCTTGTTTTATTCTTTGGTAATTGTTCTGTGTTTTTTCTTAGGCAATATACCATGGGATGAATAAAAGAACTTATCACTTTAAATGGAAAATTCGAGCCTCGCAAACAAGGATGCAAACACTAAAGTGTATTTCCACTTTTGCAGCCAAATTGGAATAACACATACTTTATATTTGTTACATATTCCCAATCACACAGTTTAACTTTAGAAAAATAGAAATTTTCAGCTTACCTTTTTTTTTAGCTGCTCTTTCTGCTAATTCCAGAACTAAAAAATCCTGCTTTGTGTCAAATAATTAGCTCTGTCTGCCAGATTTCATTATCACCTATAAACTAGATGAGCAGGACTGTCTGTCCTAACAAAGGATTAAAGCGCAGAAGACATGTATGCTAATGAAGAGATGCTCAGTCTGTCCTAAGTCTTTAGTCAGAGTTTCCGGTTGCTGAAATTGAGAGGCGTGCTAAATAGAGATATCTAAAAGGTAATACGTTTTTTAAAATTATTTTTAGATAATGTGTGTGAATAGGAACACATAACAAACATATATGGGAGTTTTCTCAATTTCAAATGCAAAAGTGGAAATACACTTTAAGCTGGGCATATATGGAGTGAATTTCAGTTCAGGGGCGGACCTACCGCCAGTGCGGTTGCATCGGGGCATGAGCCTAAAGGGGGGCCCAGTATACAATCTAACACAGCCCCGGGGCACAGATGGGGGGGCCCGTCGGTGTTAATATAACTGATAAAATTATGACATAATAAGTCCATTTGCTGAAGAATTTGATATCCTGCTATTTATTGGTAGAGGAAAATTTAATGTTGGTTTCTTGAAGGCACAAGAGATATACTGACCCTGCAGCACAATGTAGCTTAAGGAAAAGTGTGGTAACAAATATGACATATGCTTTGTAATGGATGCAATAAATAAACATCTGGCTGCTAGGTGCCCTCCTCCGATCACTGACAGTACTTTTTCTTGTCCAGGTTCTTGTATTGCTCATTATAGCTTGCTTTGGAAAAGCAGAGGGCGGCTTTTCTGTCACACTCACAGATGTGCATCTCACATGGGTTGTTTTCATCTGCAGGGGAGGAAGAAGACAACTTTAAATCCAGGCTTACTTTTTCATCAGTATTAATGTAAAGTGGTCCCCAGGTGAAGAATGCTGAGTCATGTGTAATCCTGCACTACAATTGAGGTTGCATTCAGCAGACTTGTATCAATTGCCATATTCCTATACAGTATTCCGTATTAGCTAATAAATTATTTACCCCTAACAGGCATAGGCATTTGTCTACTTTAAAGAGGAACTCAAGCTATTACAAAATTAACACTTGCAGTGAGTCTAGGGGCTGGAATACAGAAAATATACTCACCTGATCTTTGATCCTGTGGCAGTCAGCACTTACCTCTCTCCGCCACTGCATTAGACATGATGATGTCAGTGGGGTTAGACGGACTGATTCCGGGGGTGAGGAGGCTACAGGGAGCAATCTGGCAGCCTGGCAAGACTGAGGATCCGGTGAGTATATCTGGTTTAATCCAGCCCCTAAGCCAAAATGAGCAGCTAATTCCTGGAGTTCCTCTTCAAAGTGGAGCTTTATCCCCTTTGGCTAAAAATCACATCCACATTTACCTCTGCAGGCTAACATGAAATCATCTTACATTTATTAATTAAACAAACATATTTTTTGTTTACTTATAATCTCTTGTTTTCTACTTCCTGGTCCTCTTAGGCAAAAATTATGTAATTTTGGCCAAGTGTTGCATCCCGGGAAGGTTACATCAGCAGAGCATTCACAAGATCTCAGGGAAAGGCATTTTGCTCCCCTGAGATGATGTGCATGAAAGATACCTCTGCTGGTTAAAGTTCAATCCAGCCAAAAAAAATTTGTAGAGGAGGGTTAAGTTTTATTGCTATCTGTTCATACTGGGGAGATTTGCCTTAATTTTCTGTTTAGGTGAAAGGTGTCAGACAGACCGGGGAGTGATGGGATGTCTCTTCAATGGGACATACTGTAGGTAGCACCAAAAGCATATTTATTTAATAGAGTGGCGAAAGGTTAGAACCTCTCTCAGGTTTTTTTGATCTCCGTGTTTTCCCCAACCTTTCATTTCTTGCCCTGGTGTCTCCAAGACAGGATGTAAGGCAAATTCCCACAAGGAGAACACAGACAGAAAAAAAAAAAAACTTAAACAATTGAAAAAGAGGCGTTGGATTAAGATTTTTGGAAACTCAGTCCAATTATTAACAGGACACAGAGGCTCCGGTAAGGCTGTTCTCACCACAATGGGACATTGCATAATGAAGGGACTGTGCATGATTCCAAAATGTTGCTTTTTTCCTGTGATTTCATGATAAACAATGTCAATAAAGGTGTTTTATTGATCACGAATTTGGTGTGCTTGTGACTTACTCTCTTCAAAAAGGGAACCCACAGTTGAGGATCCACACTTACAAAGTCTAATGAGAGCCTCAAATAAAAGTCCAAGAGTCCAAATTCTTTTAATGTTAGTATTAGTTCATAAAATGATAACACAAAAACAGCCAGCACATTTTGGGGGCTTAAAAACTCTTCCTCTTCAGGGCTCAGGTGTTATAACAGGATAAGTTACAAGATGCCGGAAATCACTCTGTCACCACACAGCATTCTGCTGATTTCTGTCATCTTGTGATTTCTATAACTAAGAATTATTTTTGCCGCGTCAGCTCCTGTGGGAACCGGATTTCTGTATGGAGAGGATCCTCGTGTACACCGGTCTCCTTACAAACTAGTCAGCTGCTGTACATTGGTTATTGCCTTTTGGTTTTACTGCTGTCCTCCCTCCCTTTATAACTCTGGTCACACGAACAAGCAAGATAACCAGATACACAGCATCCTCCCTCCTGAGAAAGAGGATTGATGGCACTCTGTGATACCATGGCGTGATGACAACTTTGTAGCACATGGACTTTGTTCATCTTCTTCGGATAATCACTTGACATTGCTGGTATCTAATCAGGGGAGGCCATCTTTGGTTACAAAAAGAATATATAAGGAAGGACTGGACGGCGTGTAATGGTCATTACACGTTGCCCGGATTCATGAGTGTCCAGGAAGCCGAATCCATGCTCACTGGTCACGAGGGAGCAAAAAGCCGGCTTCCCATCCAATCAGGAAGCGGGGCGTCATGTAATAGCTCAATGTCCGGCTCCCCGATACTGGAAGTTCCGCTATTGGAAAAGGCATCGGGAACATATACTCAATATCGGCACCGATATCGGTATTGGTGCATCCCTAGTTTGGTGCTCTCATTAGACATTGTGTATGCAATAAAAACTTGGCAGAAGTTCTGACTGTTAACTACTCCAAACTACTCAAAAACAAAATGGCGCCTAGACTAAAAGTATACTTCTTATACAAAACACAACCATTTAAACACATTAACTATTTATTTAAAGAGAGCGTGTCACCAGACCTAGCCTTTTATTTTTAAGCCCTGGAATAGTAGATCCTTAAAACTACTTACAGGATTGTCCTTTTTTTCTTGACAAATGGAGGGAGGTGTGAAGGGGACAGGAAGCAGTGAAAGGGGGTAAAGTTCTGCTTTAAAAGTGTTTTGTTAAATCTGTTTGATAGGTTTTAAAAAAATACCTGTTGGTCCTTCCAGAAATCTAGTGAGCTAATAACTTCCTGTGCTCTAAGGATTGGTAAGCTGCAATATATTCCATTTTTTGTTTTTGGGTTTAGATACACTTTAAGAATCCACTGTCTCTAGGCTTAAAACTAAAAAGTTAGGTCTGGTGACGAGGTCTCTCTGAATAGGTTTTTCGTTGTATGAAGAACAGATTACGATGAAGAAGTGTAAAACGTACTTTTGCAGGTCACAACTTTATTTTCACAACTGTACGCGTAGAACTCTGTGTAAGGGTTATCAAATATGGGGTTGCAGTTAACAACTGATCTGGAGTCACTGTAGCAGTTATCGTGAACCTTGCAACACCTGCATACACAACGAAAGGTGGTGATCAGATTTTCAAAGGAATGCACGCCAAGAGGTTTAAAGTGTAACTAATAACAACATCTTTTTTTTCTAGTTTTAAGGTGCCCATACACCTTACAATTTATCTGCAGATGTTCTGTGGTCAGATGGAAAAAGTGCAACAGATTGGCCCAGGCGGAGATTACTCCATCCACACAGTTAAGTGTAGATGGAGGAATCTGTTGCTCCTTTTCCATCTGACCACAGAAAATCTGCAGATAAATTGTAAGGTGTATGGCCACCTTTAGATAGTAGAGAAGAGTAGAGAAGGATTAGAACACCTGTCAAGATTTTTGTGCACTCTGTGTCCCTAATAGGGAGATTCACCCTCTCTATTTGTCCCGGTAATCGTTTTCACTGAAAGTAAATCACAAATTTTGGGTTGTCACCAGAACAGGAATAGATGGGAAATCTTCCAATGGGGACACTAGTTCTGATTACCCTGCTGATCACCAGGAATTTTCCTCTCTTTGGAGGGATTTCCTCACACTTCCTGTTGTAGCTATGAGACAGGAAGTGAAGGAAATCTCCCCAATGTGACACAGATAGCAAAAAAAAAGCTGACAGGGGTTATAACTCTCCCTTACTCTATCCAAAACTAAAAAAAACATATGTTGCTTTAGTTGTACTCTAAGTCTTTAAACACACATAGACAGGAACTATGACGGGTAAGCATGTTGAACATGTTAGACTAAAGTGTCTAAAAGGAGAATTGTCTGGGTTTCCTTATTGCAAATAGCAAAACCTTATTAAGGTGTGCTGGAATAAAAAGCATAATCTGATTGGTGACTGTAAACATTTGACTTGTCCATTCTGATTGCAGCTTATATTCTTTTAGTACAGTTTATAAGTATTACAAATGTATTCCAGGGATTATAATACATGTGGGACTAAAGCTGGCTTTATGATACTTGAATTTTGGCCGAGTCCTGCTGACTGCTGAAATTCGAGCAGTGGGTGGCTCGCCAGCACTGTTCCGATTGATTTTTCAATCGACTCTTGTTGATGGAGTCGTGCCGAAAATTGTGATGCAAATAGTGACTGCAATCAGCTGCAGTCACTGTTCATGTGTTCTGTTTACAGTAGGAAGCGATTATTTTCAAAACTAGTTAAATAAGGAAAGCCAGCATGATTGTTTTTTATTAGAAACAAGCTCTTTGCTTTTATGTTTTAAAAAAAACATGGATTTGACTGTTTAGTGAACAAGAAGGCTCTGCAAAAGCTTGTACATGAGGGCGGCTATATGCAGGCTTTGTGCCGTCATTCTCTCCTGAAACCGAAATATAATATTGCTGCCTCTGCCATAGAAAATAGTCTATAGGAAATCTATATTATATCTTTATTAGTGGTTATGTTCAAAAGGGGAAGGTCCTACAGCCACACCCCAATAAGACAATGCAAATCTAAATTCCAAAGTAAAGAAACTGAGAGCTGAGAATCAAGGAGGGCTTTTAGGGCAAATATAGGACCTTCAGAGATAATAGTAAAATGTATAAAAATACCATATTTTATTTAAACCAATAAAATACATAGGACATAAAAAATATAAATGCATATTGGTGTACAGCCTAAGCTAGGTCAGCATAAAGATCATATACTCATATGTAGAGACGATGAAAAGTTGTGGCTAAGAAAGTCCATAAATGGAATCAATAGATGGTCACTGTTGTAGGAAATCCTCTACGCATTTCATCACAGGCGTGGCTTCCTCAGGACGAACACATTCCAACAACTATAGGATCATATAAAGTTCTATTATGTAATCCTAATTCTATTACAGTAACATGCTAAATTACTGTAATGGAATGTCGGTCATTTCATCATCTCTACATATGAGTATACGATAGTGGCGTCACAAGGGGGGTGCGGCCTGCACCTGGGTGAAACCACTGGAGGGGTGACACCAAACTGACTGACAGTCAGTTTGGTGTCACTCCCTCTTAAAAGTCGGGAACTCGGTCATGGACAGAAAGCCCGACAGTTTCAGGAGAGAGGAGGGGACCCGGCGGCATACCTTATCCATCACCAAGGTATAAGATGGCCGTGCATGTGCGATGACGTCACGGCGCGGTGTCACCTGGTATCTGCTCCGAGTAACACCTGGTCCCGGGACGTCTCTGGTATACGATGTTTATGCTGACCAAGCTTAGGCTGTGCACCAATATGCATTTATATGTTTTTATGTCCTATGTATTTTATTGGTTTAAATAAAATATGGTATTTTTATACATTTTACTATTATCTCTGAAGGTCCTATATTTGCCCTAAAAGCCCTCATTGATTCTCAGCTCTCAGTTTCTTTACTTTGGAACTGATTTTTTTCTGATTTTGCATTATATGATATCTGCAGTATGTTTTAAATATACATTCCTATGTGTTCTGTAAATGCATCTGTGTAATGCAACACATTACCGCTTAGTATGAATGAGCTGCTTTTGCACCAAAACACCCCCAAAAATCAGACATGCACACTAATTGAAGGTAAGCATGTAGGTTTCATGTAAGGTAGTATTTATATATATATAGAGAGAGAAAAGCAAAGCATAGAGTATAAAATACAGAAGGAATGGGGAGCTGCTGTTGTCTTAATATAAGCACTCCCCTTAAAGCAAAACTCTGGGCAAAATTGTTATTAACCCTTGTAGTGGGTCTTCCCCTGCATTGCAAGGGTTAACTGCTCATTTTCATCTAGAGTGCCTCATGGGATTTGTAGTTCCACCACAGCTGGAGGGCCACAGTTTGGCCATCCCTGATCTAGAGTTAAACTCACCCAATCCTCTGAGCTGGCTTGCTCTTAGACTGGTCCTTCCAGCCTCACTCACCATCCGCTGCAGTGGTCTAAGGATCCTCGAGTCATCATGTTCTATACACAGTACCAACATACCATTGCTTGAGGCGCAGGAGGAAACAGGCTGGAGGGAGCACTGTGACAGCTGGCCAGCTCTGAGGTTCTAGTGAGTATAACTTTTTTATTTTAGTCCCTAGACGAAAAAGAGCAGTTTTCCCTTGCAGTGCGGGGGTAGCCTTACTGCAAGGGTTAATACAAATGTTGCCCGAATTTGTTCTTTAAAGGTCTAAAGAGTAAAAATCCAACTAGCTTGTAATGTAATGGCTTAAGTATTCACCCCAAAAAATTTCCTATCAAGATCAAAATCTCAAGATTGCCATCTTGCATGTGGATGCACGGATCCTCATTATAGAGAGACTGTTTCTCATTGGCCATGAGTAACAACAGCTCTCCACCTGTCACATTTCCACTGCCATTGCTCGGAAGCAAATTCTCACCCACTCTCTGTATAGAGAAGCCTTATACCGCTCCGACTGAAACAGTTTTAACTTTTTATTATGTATAGTGGTGGTTACTGTTTACTTTTGCAGCCACAGAGAAATTTAGTCTGCTACAATTGTTGCATTTGCCTGTTGAATATTGAGAAACTGACAAGAACTGTTATCTTATTATGATCTTAACAGGAATCTTTTTTGGGTGAGACCTTAAAGGAAACTTTTTTGGGGTGAGCCCTTAAAGGAAACTTTCTTGGGTGGGGGCTTAAAGTAAACTTTTTTTGGGTGAACCCTTAAAGGAAACTTTTTTTGGGTGGAGGCTTAAAGGAAACTTTCATGGGTGCATGGGTGAGCCCTTGAAGGAAACTTTCTCGGGTGAGCCCTTGAAGGAAACTTTCTTGGGTGAGCCAATAAAGGAAACTTTCTTGGGTGGGGGCTTAAAGGAAACTTTCTTGGGTGGTCCCTTAAAGGAAACTTTCTTGGGTGAGCCCTTAAAGGAAACTTTCATGGGTGAGCCCTTAAAGGAAACCTTCTTGGGTGGGGGCTTAAAGTAAACTTTCTTGGGTGGAGGCGTAAAGGAAACTTTCATGGGTGAGCCCTTAAAGGAAACTTTCTTGGGTGGGGGCTTAAAGTAAACTTTCTTGGGTGGAGGCGTAAAGGAAACTATAATGGGTGACCCCTAAAGGGAACTTTCTTGGGTGGGCCCCTAAAGGAAACTTTCTTGGGTGGGGGCTTGAAGGAAACTTTCATGGGTGAGCCCTTAAAGGAAACTTTCTTGGGTGGGGGCTTGAAGGAAACTTTCATGGGTGAGCCCTTAAAGGAAACTTTCTTGGGTGGGGGCTTAAAGGAAACTTTCTTGTTTCCTTTAAGCCCCCACTTGGCTGAACGCTTAAGCCATTATGTTACAAGCTAGTTATATTTAATGTTATAGACTGCCCACCATGGATTTCCATGTTGAGTTGAATAATTAATTTGCAGAAAGAGCTTGGCTATAGTTTAAAAACTTACGCATCCAGGCTATCTACAGGAGTGCCGGAGCCCCCGAACCCACAATAGCAGCCATATCCATTGTAATCATCCAGTGGCTTGCTATCTGGTATTGTGCACTTTATTATTTTTCGAAACTGTAGCAGATTCCTGGTTTGTCGCCGAGCAGAGACGATGGTCACTGTAAAGAAGTGAACAGAGATATGATTGGTGCATATGGCTTACTGCAGACTACAGGCAAGGTAGGTTTTTTATTATATAATTCATAATAAATAGTTAGTCCAAACAGATGGTTTTGGAATGCCCCCCATTTTTTTTTGAGTATTCAAGTAGAAATTAGTGTCAGTATAATCACAAGTGATATTCACTTTTTTGGTGGATGCCAGCGGGTGATTCACCCACAATCTGCTTATGTTTGCAGAATCCTTGTTCTCCATAGCCGAGTTCTTCAGCATGTCAGGGTATTTACTAGGAGATCACAGTCTTATTAAAAGCAGGGGGGACAGCGAATAATTACAGTAATTACAGCAGAGAATATATGCCACCAGTGTTTTATAAAAAAGAAAGATATGGATATTTATGGATAAAAGAAGCCAGGAAATGACCTTCTGCAAAAAACAGGTGTACTGTATTATACCCAGTAATCAAACCTCAGATGTAGCACATGCCCACCTTACACTCTGCTGAGCCACCCAGCATTTACATTCGATTTCCCTTTCCAGCACATCTGCTACAGTACTCTAGAGCTCTATGGAGAAATAGGACATCCCAGCTATATCCTTCTAACACTTAAGCATTCATTATAAAGCACAGGTGAGCCTTCTTAAAAGAGAATGCATCTTCATGTCTCACTTGCATCAGAGATCCATGTTGCCCCAACTTGCCCCAACTTGATGATGGCCAAATGCTTGAAATAGCTCTAATATTAGGCTGTATCTGGGCTGTAAACCAGCAGTTCTGGATGCACTGTGGGATCAGGGGCATAAGGGTGTGATTTGCAAGGTGTAATAAGTCCTATATTTTTAGGATTTGTGATAGAGGTGAGACATACAGATATTTTTTCTTTTAAGATGGCCCTGCCATGATTTGCATTGGTTTAGTGTAGGGCTTACCATGACCTGTCTAGTTGCACTGAGATCATTCCAGACTAAGATAAACATTTGGAAACTAATCTTACCCGCTGTGTACAGCCTACATACTGGGTAATATCTAATCTAACTTCTAACCATCTTGTGGAGTTGGCTACCCCACCTTGCAAATTCATTGGGTTGTCGGTACGTTTTTTTAAATGGCCCTGAATCTGAGTCTTTGAAAATGCAGACAAAATGTAAATGTATGTTATGAAAAAAAGGAAGTTTTACAGCAAAGAACCTGTCCTGACCAGAGGCACTGGTAAAAGTTTTCAGATTCTGGCTGAGTTTGATTATATTGAAGTCAGATTAAGGTAATCTCAGGGGTTTGCAGATTTAAGATGGGACCATTTCAATGTTTTAAACAGCTTGTGGTTTACTGATTTAGTTGTCAGTCAGTGTGCTCTTCAATAGAGTTATATGTTAAATTAGAAATTATAATTTTAGTTTTCTTCCGTGAAAATACTGCTTTTTCCCTGTATTTATATTACAATACTACTTGCTGCATTCAGCCCCCTGTTGAGCACCACCATATTGTCTCAGGGAGAGTGGCTATACTGAAATAAAGGTTTGACTGTTAATATTAACCAAAAAGTCAAAATTTGCATATTGTAAAGAGCACTGTTTAGCTTAGACTGCACAGATTGGAGAAATAAGGCACAGGCTTTAAACAGCTGATGGAGAAGATTATAAAAAATTCCCCCGTGTTTCCTTGCTTGGGGAATAAAAAACAATCTCTTTAAACCAACATCAATGCTTTATGCTCTGATTTACCGCTAAAGCTGGCAGAGTGACCGATAAAATTAGATTTTATGCCAGTGTTATCAAAAGATCACAGCATTAAAAAGGCAAGCAAGTATTTTCAAAGAAAGGTAGCATCAACAATTGCCATAAGTGTATGAATAATTTGCTTTAGGGTTTCACGTCCAAACTACATGTCTCTGGAAAATCCTTGGGAAGAAAATAAAGGTGGACACCCTGATATTGTGGACCAACATCTAGATGTAGTGTCAGTTCATATCCAATGCTCTAAATATTCATCATTATATCACTTCATATTGTTCATGGCGTCTGCCTTGGCTGAAGGAACATCAAATAGGTTAAAACTTGAAATGTCTAATGGCAATGGAGTGCAATCAAATTAAATGTGTCAGCTTAGCAATATAAAACCTCTTAAAGCATTTCCCCAACACTAAGGATTTTATTTATATTACTTGATTATTCCAAGCTTTGGACAAAACTTGCTATGAAGTCATATCATTTCATGTTTTGAAGATCTCAATCTACAACAAGCCTTAACTTCCTGTGTGTAGAACAACCCCAGAACATTCATGTTATGCTCAAGTGATTGCCTCAGCACTTTCCCAAATGTGGGCAGAGCTAGAAGTCAAGCTATTTCTGCAATACAATTCTAATATTTGTTGAAATACTTTTATTGTTTTACTTTGCTTTTTACAACATTAAGACTGAGTATGCGGTTGTGTATGAAAATACATAACATAGCTATAGTATTTGATAGCTTGGTAACAGCATTAGCACATAAAATTGCTCATAGGAGGTCTATTTATTTATCAATATTCTTACCCAAGAGTCACACAACTCTAACCCATTTTTCTAATGGAATCCTATGTGAAAAATTGATGAATTATGGGTGAGAGTTGTATTATACAAATTAGATGCACAATATTGCCAAAAACCCTCAATGTTTAATTCTTGCATATATTTATAGTATGCTCCGTAAGTATGCTATTTGCCTATTTGCACATTAAACCTAGCTGAAATATTTTCCTTGTCTTGCCTATGACTGCATAGGTAAACTCAGCACAGTTGACATAAACAGTATGCATTCAGTCACTCTTAATAAAAAGCCTCTTCAGTTTAAACTATTTATTATATACACAGTTTGGCATTTAGCACACCTGCATTCTAGGCACTGGTATTACCCATACATGTTTTGTTCTAAATCTTTTTGATTTGAAATGATATGCGTTTTGTATAATCTTTTAGCAATCTTACCTGCTAGAAGCAGAGTCAAAAGTACACAGGGTCTCATGTTGGCACAATGGAAGGTATACGATGGGAACCAGCCATCTTATATCAATAAGTGACCTTGGCACCGAGCTGTGGAATGTGTTCCGTGTCCTCAGATATGGGTTTAATAGCTCATACCTGGCACAAACAACTATGCAGATTAATGGTGTAATGAAGTGTACAGCGCTAAATGCCCTTCAGGAAATTAGATAATGGTAGGGATCATATGGTGTCACCTCCGTGTCAAGCAATCGTGAAACAGTGTATATATAATAAATATTTGTGTAAAAACTTATAGTACGTTATAAAATGTGTCAACAGGTGTCATAAAAAACGTGTCATACATGAACCTTATTAAATAAATAAACAAAAATCTTCAAAGAACATGTGTCATATATGTGAAAAAAATATTATTGTGAAAAAAATATTAAATAAATAAATAAACATGTGTCATATATGTGAAAATGGGGGCGGGCCTACCTTTACGTCATTGTTCCAGTCCTTTTTGCACTCAGATTGAGTGACTAGCCGGCTTTCCACATTGATTTTTATGGAATTTTTATAGAGCGCTTGTTTGTCTGTATTTATTATTTTGGACCCATTAAAGTTGAACTTACTACGCTATGAGCGCATTTCTTGTGTTCTTTGTCCGGATGGATCCCCAATAGAGGAGACCTAACAACAAAGATTGTAATCCCTTCACCTCGGAGAAGCAAGCGGGTTCTGTAGCCTGAGGCTTTCACCAAACGGGAGAAGAGGACATACATCTTCGGCCTCCATTGGATAAGAATAAAGGCTTTCGACCATCAGGGATCTGGTGAGTGCATTCCCTATAGGGGACCTGCCTG